TAAGTCTAATGAAAAAAGTATTCACCCTGTATAAACAACAAATCATTCAAATTTTGACAACAACACATTATTTGTGATTATAAGTAACAACAGAAGTAACATTGATACAATAACAAGCATCATTCATGGATCAACAAGTGCCATTCAAGTTTTGACATAATCCATTTGTGTCTTACAACAATCGATTAAGCTTCAACAAGATAAAAAAAAACTAAATTTATAATTAACAACACACCATTTTATTATAAGAAACAAGTAGTTTGGAACTAAATTTATTATCTATATGAACATATTATTTTATTGATATTTAAATGTCAATTAACAAAAGAAAACTTGTAAAATTCATGAATTTTTAAAACTCCTAATTTATAATTAACTATGTGAGAATAACAAGTAACATTAATAAAATCATAAGTGCCATTTAAAAATTAACAATACACCATTATATATATATTATGACATGGAAATATTTTAAAATCTTGAGTTATTACATACATACTTAATGCGCGCGCACGTGCACACACACACATTTGCCATATAAAATTTAATGAGCTTGGTAGCTATCTGGCCATTAAGTTTTTTAGATAGGCAAGGGGTCATAAAATCAAACTCCCTCTTGGCCATCTTGAAAAATTAATTTGAATTAATTGTCACTAGAGATACGATAGCCAATAATAGTGCCCCAGTGGCCAACAACGGCGTTCCGATGACCAGTGACTATAGGGTTTTTTAAAAGGAATAAAATATGTGACAGGTAGTTTTGCCTTTTACCATAAATTTTATATGTATTTCAGTTTTTTAATTTTGCAATGACATTTCAGAATCTTTTAAATTTTGATTAATATTAAATATCATCAATGGTCCTTGAATGATAAATGAATTGCATAAAATTGTACTCGAGCTTTTGTACCAAAAAAGTTTATGTGAAAAAGTTATAAAGGTGTTATGTTTGATAACTACATGTTCAAATTGTACTACTTATAAATATAATTAATATTTAATGGATAATTTTATATATATAAAAAAATTAGAATAGAATATGAATCCTTTTATAAATAGAAGAACATATAGACTGTATTATACATGTTTTATTGATTTGAATAGAAAAGAACGACGTTGTGGATGACGAGATCAATCATTAAAATTCTAGTGTTTGGAAATCCATAACAACCATCAGAATTATTAAACAAAACTCTCAAGAGTTTGACCAGCTACATGTCCTAGGTTGTCTAAATAATTAAATTTGGTGGATAATTACGGATGTAATTTGTTTTATCATCTTGCTTTAACCAATTACAAATGAAAGCAAGTGAACAAGGAAGACCCTCTTGTTTTATGGGATAATTTCATTCGGCCCCCTTGTCCATCATAATTTTAGTTAACCCTCTCCCAAAACTCTAAAATTTCACTGCACATTTGGGGATTAAAATAAAATTAAAAAAATGAGTTAAATGACTTTATTATTTTTGATAAAAATGACTGCACATAAGCAACTTGTATAGAAAAAATAAACAATTGATATATAAAAAAAACTAATGTAGATATAATTTGTAAATTTCATTAACAACATAATAATATTAGGAATTTACAATTGTCATTTCACTAACGTCAATTGTTTATTTTTCCTACTCGAGTTGTTGATGCATCTAGAGTCATCAAAGACAATAAGTTAATTTGAGTTATCTCTTTAATTTTATTTCAGTTCTCTGTTTATGCAGTGAAATTTTATAATTTTAAAGGGTTGACTGAAATTATGTTAGGTCAATAGGGGCTGACTGAAATTTTCCCTTGTGTTATTATCTTGTTTAATTTATTTATTTCTTTTAAAAAAATACACAAAATTTAAAATAAGTATTATAAGTTATATTCATATTATTATTTTTAATTTGAGAAGAATTTATCCAAAAAAATTACTTTTATATCTAAAGGCCTCAGAATTTTTTTTATGATAAATATTTTATTTTATTTCTTTCATAAATACTAAACTGGAACTTCCACTCTTCAACCAATAGAATAGATACATGTAGAACAAGGTAAAAATAAAGACAAGAAAATAAGTCAATAACGTGCAAAGTCATCGTCCACTTAACATGTTATTAAGCTACCAATTTTCTCTCCTTTTTTAGGCATCCTCATAGCCGACAGTCATAAGATTAATCACCCAATAAATTTGAGTGTTATTTAGAAGGTTATCTTCTTCCAAGCAATATCTTTTTATACACACATTCAAAAATTGAACTCTAAAATAATATTGAAGGACCCATACTGCAAGTTTCTCCCACGTTTATGCAAAGTGTAGCTCTTTCATTATTGAACTATATGTTCAAAGCCTTAAAAGAGTTTCACACATGCTTTCTAGACAATCCATTTAATCAACTCGTGAAGTTCATTTTTAGAAGTCTTGTGCTCTCGAGTAATTCCATTAACACACTACCTCTTGTTCAATGACTTCTATTCTTTTTGGTCTTATTTATAGGGTAAAAAGAAATTTTTTTGATCTTATTTATAAGTTACATTATTAAATTTTTATCATAAATTTTTTTACCCTTTATTAAATATTGGAGAGAGAAAATATATTATTAAAGTATGTATATTTAATAGGAATAAAGTTAAAAATTTATTAAATTTTAATATGAAGTTAATGAGTTTTAAGGTTTTTCTTAATACTGGTGAAATATGTTAAAAGTGATTTAAAAATATAATCAGAGGACTAGTATTTAATGTTTTAAGCACTATAAACCCCAAATTATTTGTAGCTTTTACTTTTGAAAAAATGCTATTAAACATGCCTTGCTAAAGACCAATTGTGTAGCTCATGTAAAATAACCAACAACTTGTAAAATTGATGTAGGACCAGAAATGTGATTTTATTTTAAATCAATCCTAAATGATTTTGAAATTACATTGCACAATCAACGGATTAAATTGAAATTATATTTTGTAGCGAGAAATGATCAAATTAATTCCTTTCAATTATTAAACCATAACTTGCCTTCCTATTTTAATAATGTTGCTAGTAAATTCAATAAAAAGACTTGTAACAACACATGTTGCATACTTGTTTCAGTATGAAGTACACTTGTTAATACTATAAACTGACTTCTTCTTGGTTTTTTTTTTATTTTATTTGGTAATTCAATAAAGGAACTTGTCACATGTCATTTTTTGCATATTCAATATTGTTTTATAAAAACTTCAAGATGACTTGTTAAAATCACAAATTAACTTGTTATTTCAATAATATTACTTATTAAATTACTTTTATTTAAAAAAATGGAAGGATATTTTGATCATTTTCTTGCTAAACGAAATTTTAATCTAATTCTTCAATCTTGCAATACAATTTCAAAATTGTTTAGGACTGATCTAAAATAAAGTCGCATCTCGCGTCCTATAATAAAATTCTCCCTCTACTTTTGTCCTCTTTTCCTAGTACAAACCAGTATATAAACTTAAATAGAAAATATGTATATATATATATATACATACATACATATTCTGTAATAAATAAAAATTTAATTTTTATTACTTACTTTTTACTTATGAAATAAATATTTTTATTAATAATTGTAAATTTATTTTCATTTAAAATCCATTTATTTTGACATGATTTAAAATGAATACATTATGTATATGAGTTTAATGCCACACAAAGTATATACTAATTGTAAATATTTATTCCTGTGAAAAAAAAATAAAATATTTTTAATTGAATTTTATCTCAATAAAATAATTATTTACTTTCAAACTAATTATATTTTTTATATTTATTTTTATTAAATACTCTATAATAAATATAAAATTATTTATTAATAAAAATATTTTTTTAAAAAATAATAATTATAATTAAAAATTTAAAAATATTTTATATTTTTAATGAATGGAGTATTTTTCATGCTTTTTATGCATCATATAAAACTATAAAAATCATCGTTACGATTTACAGCAAGTTAAAGGTGGGGCCTACATATTGTCGTCACGGAATCGGCTGTCAGCATCATTTACCGACTCGCACCTCTGCACTTAATTAATGGAATGGTCCACTTATGAACTATGAAACTTCGCAGATGTTTCTCGCCCTCACCATCTCAATCAAAAACACAATTTATAATTTAGTTTGAAAATTTGTTGTAACTTTAACTTTTTAAAGGTCTCCTTTTTTATTTTTTCAAAATTACAAATATATTTTATTTTTAAAATTAGGACAAATTAAACTTAACCTAATTAAAATAACTATTAATGAAAATTTTGTTTAGAGAACACATGAAAATCTTAACTAGCTTCTTTTTAAAAAAAAAATTAGGATAATTTTATTTTTAAACTATAAATCTTAAACATTTGAGACTCTAAATATTTTTTTTTGTTGTAATATTTTATTTTGATATTTAAAAGTGATATTATATTTTCCTCACTGTTAATAAATATTAACTTTAAATATTAATTAACTAATAAATTATCAAAAAATAATCTCAAAAATTATATAAAAATAATCATAATATTATAAATAAATAATTTAAAAAAAATTAATATTGATTAATTCTCTAAATTAAAAATAAATATTAAGAGGCAAATCTTATTTCTTTTTCAGAAATGTAATTTGGCAGATCCCATAGGTCCCTAGAAATTTTAAAATAATTAGGTACTATTTTATTATTTTTATATTTTAAGAGAATTTATTTATCATTTCCTCTTAATTATATAACTTCATAATTCATAATCCTCATATTTGAATATAGTGATTTATTGATTTGCAAGAGATGCGCGTGAAGGTAACGAAACGCCTCGGTTAACTTCATTTCTCACCAGGAGCCAATAACGGAGTGCCACGTGAATAGCTTACGCACCATCTTACCTCAGTATATGCAATGATTTTCAAAGAAATAAACAAATGGTCTTAGTCGTCGAAACTTTTGCCGAGTCCTTAGCATCTCTCTCTGTCTCTGACTTCAACCTATCACACACACACACACACACTCTCTCTCTCTCTTCTCTTGAAACTTGTGGGCACCACTCTTCTTTCATGTTCATACCCATTCAACCGCACACTCTCTCCCCTTCTCTCTCTCCCCCCTCTTAAAACTTGTGGGCACGACCCAACACACCCAGCTCCATGACTCTTTTTTGATACTGTTTCAAGTTTAAACCACTTTCTTCTTCATTACACACACACACACACACACGCTCTTCTTCTTCTTCTTCTGATTCTGATCTCTCTCACGTTCTTCAACATTATTATGGAAGCCCATTCTTCTTCTCCCCCGACGACGTCGTTTCTTCACCGGAAACGTCTCCTCCACGAGATGGATTTCTTCTCCGACGACAAAAAGACAATCAAGACCACTACTGGTCATCAACATGAGTATCATGATCATGATCTGATGCTAAACGGATCAACCGACCTAATTCACGTTGATGTAAGTCATATGATTAGATCTTCACCATATTATCATTTCATTGACATCGATAATATATATATATATATATATATAACATTCTTCTAGTACTACAGACGCGCGCGCGTCTCTCATATACCTCTGAAACCAAGATGATACGTCTTGTTACTTTCTGATTTGTTTAACTTTTTTATTATTTACATAGGAATTATTGGTATGCATGCATGTGCCTTCATTTAAACCTTAATTATATGGGTGCTTGGTTTTGATTTGATCTTAATGATGGTTGATTAATTGATTATGCAGGCGAGTTTAGATCTTGTTTCTAAGACTACCACGAGCGACAGATTGACTATGGATGATGGAGCATTAGACGCCGTGGAAGATAACAAGAAAAAAGAGGCACGTATAATCTCGAAGTTGATATGCGTCATGTGTGTGTATGTATTTTACAAAAAAAACTTGAGGTGAGTTGGGTTTTAAGAGCTCACTAGGATCAAGGTATACCTCAAAGCTTTAAGAGCATTTTTAAAAGTATTTATAGATCTTCTACCAATAAGGTCTTTACATCAATAGCCGGATTTGAATTCACAACCCACAACCTTTTGGGTTATAAGTCAAATATTTACCAATTGGATCATATGTTTTATATGTATATATGTATGTATGTATATTGTATAATACTTAATTTCATGATCAAGTTGAAGGATATATATATATATATATATATGGTTGAAATTTATATACTGAAGCTTTTGGGTTCAGTTTGCAGGTATGTTAAGTGAATTGCAGCAGTTGAGTGCTGAAAATCAGCGTCTGAGAGATGAGCTTGATCAGATGAACCTAAAGTACAATGTCCTGAAATTACAATTTACCAAGCCCAACCAGACACAAAGTAATGAGGTAATTAATTAATAGCCTCTTATCATGTATAGAACATCAAATAAAATTAATCATCATCATTAATATATGCATATATATAAGCACAGTCTTTTTTTGCTGTGTATTTACTTTATATAATCATCGTCATCATCAACGGGACAAAGTGTGTTTTTACAGCACAGATATAATTTTTCAATTTTCTTTCTTTTATTTTTCATCAAATGAGCAAATTACCTCTTCAATTTTAAGTTCAGTAACACTATAGATCTTAAATTAATTTATTGAGAAAATTATTTTATTAACTTTTGAAAATAATATAATCTAGTTCCTGTCATCAATAAAAGTTAAATTTGAATGTTAGTTAGCCAAAAAATAATTGAAAAGAATCTTAAAAATTATAAAAAAAGAAAAAAAAGTTATAATAAAGGACCCAAAAAATATAAAAAAGGGTAAAAAAAATTTATAATAAAGGACTCAAAATTATAGATAAGGACAAGAAAATTACAGAAAAGGATAAAAATATTTTTGAATCCTTTCTGTAATTTTTGATGTTCTTTTCTATTATTGTCTAATCAACTAACAGTTAAAATTAATTTTTGTTAACAATGGAGATCAAATTACACACATGCATTGAAATTATAAAAAAGCATGCATGCATGTGAAAGAATTAAAGAAAGTTCTTTAATTTGTGCAGGTAGAAGAAGGCAGTGGAGGGATTGAGAGGAAAGGAGGGATGGTCTTAGGGCGATTATTAGTTAAAAAAGATGATAATAATAATAATAATAAAAGTGAAGGCAATAAAATGATGAGAGAAATTAGCAAAAGCAATAATATTATGCTTGATTTGATGGAACGCAAGATTGAGCAGCACAGAGATAGTGATCAGCCACTGAACAGTGGTACTCACAACAAAGTTCACGGGAAGGACCCTAATAATGATGCAAAAGCTTCTTTTTCAGAAACCTTATCACTTGTCAAGAAAGCTCGTGTGTCAGTTCGAGCACGATCAGAGTCTTCAATGGTTAGTAATTAATCGATCAACCATTTATCTTCCTCCAACTTAATACTATGTACTTTTTAAAATATAAAGATATTTTTAATTAAATTATATATTTTCAATAAATTAATTAATTATTTTTAAATTAATATTATTTTTCTATATTTATTGTTATTTAATAAAGTGTCACTAAAAGTAAAATGTTGAGCGATCTATTTAATAAACATATTTTTAATAAAAAAACTCATTAGTTAGCAATTACACATTAAAAAATTAATTTTTTTATATTTTTTAATATCTAATCACACTAAAAATATCTTATATTTTTTTATTAAAGGGAATAGCATATAATTCTTCTTTAACTTTTAAATATTCTGATGCTGCTTTTGGTTATATAGGTATTTAAATTTAGATTTAGATTTGAATCAAATTTAACTACCGTTTGGATATATTCATAAAATTTATGGATTTGGATATGATTCAAATTTAAATCTATATTTTATTATAATTTTTTTAATTTTAAATCCATTTTATATTTTAATTATTTGAAATACCAGTTATTCTAAACCTGATATCATTTCTTTTCATTGTCATTTTCCATCTCCTTTTTTCATTGCCTTTGAATTTGAATTTATTTTTATACTATCCAAATACAGAATTTTAAATGTAAAATTTTAAATATAAAATTTAAATCTACCTATCTAAACATTACCTTAATTAATGAATGCTTTTTGAATTGTCAATTTTTTTTTGGAATATAATGGATTTTCTTCAGGTTTGTGGGTCTCACAGGTATCTATGTCTTCTCTTTTTATCCGAAACCCAAGTCCACTTGAAGATAATGCAGATCCCAAATTTTTGTCAATAAATATGTTCTATCATTAATTAGTTTGTTATTTCAAACATACGCCAGTGACAAAATATTATTAAATTTAATTTTTAATTTGTGTAAATAAATCTTTTGGCATGTAATGTACTTCCTCCAATTCAAAATATAAAATATTTTTTACCAGTTAGCAATTTGTAAAAGATCTATGCCATTAATTTTTTTTCACAAATGATATTATTAATTGTATTGTAGATAGAGACTATATATAATAAAGAAATTAAGAGTAACTAAGATAGATTAATTTTTTTATTGAGTGAGATTAATTTTAATTGAAAGATAATATTAGAAATTAGTGATAATATTTTACCATTTAATGAAACAAACAATTTTTAACCACTTTTTTAATCTTTGTGAAATAGCTAAAAATATCCTATATTTTAAACCATAGAAACTTGTTAATGATGTAATGTGGATAACTTAATGATAAGAGTCTCTATATAAATTGATTAACGTATCAGTTCGAGTATGATCAGAGTCTTCTATATGGTTAGTAATTAATTGATCATAATCATACACATTCAAAGTTTTCATGGCCAATAATATCGTTCATCGATTAACAATATTTTTCTTCAAACCTACTATGAATGATGATGAACAGATAACTCTTTACATTTAAATGTCGTTGACAAAGAATACTCCTTAAACTGTCAATGATATTATGGCCCTTGTTTCAAGTCATATATGTCAGTGATATCACATTATAGCCTTTCAAAAATTAAAATTTGTCTACATAAATATTTTGATTAATAATTGATTATTTAATAGAAAGAAGATTAGCATCGACATAACTTTAAAACTTAAGGTGGTATTACTATCAAATTTATGAGAATCAAATTTGCATATGTAATCTAAATATATTTAATTTGTTCATGGAATATTTTTTTTAGTTTAAGTAATGGAAACTGAATCATAAATTAATTAATTTGATAATATTTGAATTTGTGAAACGCACAGATATCAGACGGATGCCAATGGAGGAAATATGGGCAGAAGATGGCAAAAGGAAACCCTTGCCCACGAGCGTATTATCGTTGCTCCATGGGAACTGCTTGTCCTGTACGAAAACAAGTAATGATTTATCCTTTTCTTTATTTTAATTGAATTTAATTTCCACCATGCTTATATATATATATATATATATATATTTCTCATGGTGACAATTTATTTTTATTTGTCCTAAAATTATCTTAGGATTAACTGAACTTTTTTGAACATAAAAATATATTAAAATTAATTACTAGTAGTGGTTGGGTTGAGTGGTAAAAAAAGATTTGATTCTTCCAATGCAACCATAGAAGTATGATTTTAATTTACGTGAAACAATAATATTTAGCAGTTCTCTGGAGGATATTAAAAAGGAACCTCTGGCAACTCGATCAGATGATTTTTATTAGTAGTCTTAATTGAAGAGATTGATATGCATAACCCATTCTGTATTTCCACGAGAGTTTTTTTGGTCGCACAAAGGGTGTATTTGACGGTCATCATATAATCTCTCTCAAAATGTTGACGGTAAGAGAGACTCTTTTCTTAGTTAAGTTGCTACATACATAATATTGTTGAGATTTTAGCCCTCAACTATTTGTTTAAGTGCTAAGAGTTTCTAAACCATTCATTCCAACAATTTTTTAATTTATGTTATGTTTATTACGTTATTATAATTATTATTGAATAAGTACTACATGTTTTGTTACTTTTAGCAGAGACAGGGGATTTGAGTTATTTTTTTTTTTATATTCTAAATCAATTATCTTTGCTTAATTCCTATCTCAAAGCTCAAACATATATAAATTTTAAAAGGAATGACACAAACATATGATTGCATGCATGCAATGAATATGTGATTCACATCTCACTTTTGTAATCATGATCTCTATTCTTTCTAATTCTCTTTACATACATCGCGCAGATTCGCTTTTCTCATTGCGTAGAAATTTTAATACTTATTTTTGATCTTATACTATCATGTATTTATATATTTAGATAAGAAAGAATAGTACAAAAGAATGTGACATGAATGGTCATACTTATATATAATCCCTCTTCTCTTCGTGTTTCTCTTTTAATGCATCATATATATATATATATATATATATTATTTTTGCGAATATTGAATCATTTTTGTACTTTACAGGTACAGAGATGTGCTGAAGATAGAAGCATTCTCATAACTACATATGAAGGACAACACAACCACGCACTTCCACCAGCTGCAAAAGCTATGGCTTCAACAACATCTTCAGCTGCATCAATGCTTCTTTCAGGATCAATTCAAAGTTCAGATCATCATGATCGTCTTCCTTATCATCACCATCATCATCACCACCACCACAATAACCTCATAAACCCTAATGTATTAGAAAGTGCTTCAATACTTCCTTCCTCACACAGCATGGCTACCCTCACAGCCTCAGCTCCATTTCCCACCATAACATTGGACCTCACTCATCATCAGACAACCCAGCCGACAACGAAGATTTTCGGTCAAGCTCTGAGCGATCATCAGCAATCTAGGGTTTCTCAGGGAACGGTGTTGTCATCGTCGTTGGCCGACACAGTAAATGCGGCGACAGCTGCTATTACAGCGGATCCAAACTTTACTGTAGCTCTTGTGGCTGCCATAACTTCTATCATTGGAAGTTCTCATTCGAACAGTAGTAATAATGGTGCTGATGTTACTGCGAGTGGAAAACCCTAGAAATGGTGAGACTCAGTTATTATTTTTGTTGTTGTTGGTGTTGTTTTGCTTGGAAATTTTGATCTATAGATTTCATTGGTTTTCATATAAACCATGTCGGTAAGCAGTTTTATTTATTTAAATATTCCATTTCAGTCAGGGCCAGTGTTGTTTTGTGCATGAATGTGTACGTAGATAGATTAATCTTTTTGGCCATTTGAATTTTGAACTAAGTTCCATGTAAAGCCACTAATATGGGTCAAATTGCGGGCCACGAGTCAACCCGTAACGGGTTGCTGGTTTTAGTAGGGTGGGGTTGGTATGACCCACATCCTGCATGGGCTGTTTTGGCAATTTGCATGACCTGAAACGGGTTGTTAGATTAGCGAGCCACCCTGCTAGTAAAAAAAAGTATTTTTATAATTTTTAAATTTTAAAAATTATAAATTTACCTCTTTTTATTATTTTTTTATGGTAAGAAATCTTTATATTCACCTTAAAAATTATTATCCAAATAACAATAAAAGTCCTCATGATCAAACCATGCTTATATCACCATTTAAACATAAACTAATTTAATTTTGTTATATTTTCATTCTCTAAATTTTTAATGATTGATCAGCATTATACATATATGAAATGTGAATTAATAGAAATGCTCTGTCTATCCTCTCTCCTCTTCATCCTCTTTTTGCTGCAAAATTGATGCCCTTGTTTAAAATACTAATTCTTTTTTAAAAAAAGAAAATAATAATAATTTAAACTTTAACTATTAGATTACTACTTATAATACATTCAGTTCATACCATCTAAATGTTTTGATCTCTGTATCTATTTTTTTCCTTTTATATTCAAATTAAGATGGTAATATAATATATAGTTAGCACTTCATAAATATGTGAGCGGTGTGTTTTTATTGTTTTTTGTCATAATTTAAACTTGAATTAAATAAATGTAAAAGTGTCAAGTACTTAGACTGTAATTTTATGCATATTTGCTCTGAATGCTTTACTTTAAACTCAATCTCATTTATTTGTTTTCTGTCTATTTTTTTTAAAAATATTAGGGTTGGCCCGCTGTGTGTTTAATTATATATATGGGGCGAGCCAAAACCTCCCTCCATTTAATTGAACCTATGTTCTCTAACCCAACCTGCCAATTTTTTGCTAGTTGGCCGATTGATATTACCAACTCTAGTTCAATGGCTTTGAAAAACTAGTAAGCAAGAAATAAGTGACGAACAATATTTAAATGGACTTAATTTTATGAATAATATTAAGGATTTTGAAAACTTAGCGATCGAATTATTAGAATTTGTATTATAATTCATGGTATTTAATTTGAGTTATATTGACAAGTAAATTTTATTTCTTAAATGGTACTCATATTCATTGACTGATTATTTTTATGGCTGCTGGTTGTTAAAATACTCGAGGAACCAAAAGATAAGTCCCTTAGGACTTTAGTGATGTTGGGTGATTTCATGAGATTTCATTGGCATTATAATAATTTAGTGGCCCTTATTTGCCATTCTCCCTAAACTGTAATAGCACAAAAATTTTAGATTTTTTTAGCTTAAGAAATGTCTGCAAGGTGACAATTTTTGCATCTAAATTTTATTCAAGACAGGTAATATTAATTATTTTATCATTTACTCAATTATTTATTATGTAATTTTAATTTTAAATTGTCCTAATAATTTTATATACGTTTTTTTATTTAATTTTCTGTCTCTTCTTTATAGATAACTGGAACCTTTGGAGAGAGACAAGCACACTTAATATGATATCTTTATATATAAAATCTTATTTTAGAAGCCAACTTTGCAACTACTTGGAACAAGGAGAAAAATGGCAGTATTTCTTCCAAAAAGAAAAAAGAATTTTAAGGAGATTGGAAGGAATTGATAAAAATAGAAGTTATGGAGAGAAATACTTCATAAGAAAATTGAAAAATTCTCCAGGAAGAACATAATAAAGTTCTATTGCAAGAAAAGCTGATTTGATTCCAAAAGTCTAGATGTAAATGGCTTAAGTGGGGGATCAAAACATGAAATTCTTCCATACTACATCTATTATTAGAAAGAAAAGAAACCAGATTATATGTCTTAAAGGTGATGATGATAACTGGATAGAGGATCAAAATATTCTTGAGGGTTAAGGGGCAAAAATACTCTAAAAATTTTCTTAAAGGAGCGCTCAGTACGCTTACCTTTTAGGAGAAGCAATGCTAGCCCAGAAGAGCAATCTCACCCTTTTCTAACCTTTGACTAACATTTGAGTAACGAATATATAGCTGGCAAGTCTTTTGCACCAGATAGGACTCCATGTGGACTAATAAAGAACACCTCACCTACCCCAACCTCTACTGTATCTTATGTGCCTTCTCTTATTTGCAACTAAGCAAGCCCCCTTTATCTCCCTCTCAATCAACCTTGGATTCATTATCGAGTTCTCAAACCTTAACCCTAGAGATTGTTAATCTTTGAATGATGGAGAGGCAGGGGCAGTGTTGAGTGCAAAGTCACTTTCATGAACCTAGGTACCTCTAGTATCGATTTTAGATTATTGTTTGAATTTGATATTTTTGATATTAATAGCCACTATGATTGACTTTGTTCGATCTCATAGCCACCACCATTGGCTTTGTCCAATCTTACAACCATCGTGATGAAATGTAGTTGCTTAACCCTCAAAATTAATTAAAATTAACCTTAATATGGTATAGGGTCAACCTTAGGTCTTCTTACAAGGAGGTGATTCACTACTACCTAGGAAAATTAACTTGGTGAATAGATTATCCAAAAGAGTGAAATTATGAAATTGTTACCTAATTAACTAGTTAATTTAAGTTGCAAAATAAACCTAAATGAGATCGGTGGACTTTCTTATTAAAGTAGGAACCCTAGGATATTGTTAATGGAAGAATCCTAACTTCTAAATGATAATAGCAGCTTAATCAACTTTTCCTCCTTGGTTGAAAAAGTGATCACTCAAGACAACTATCCCAAGCAATCTAGCCTCACCAATTCAATTCCTTAAGTGCTAATTACAAGCCCCTTAAATAACCTCACTAGCTTAACTTAAAAATCAACCAAGTGTTTGATTAAATCTCCTCTCCTCATGCCATAGCGAAAACTGTACCCAAGCACAAAACCATGCAACTTGAGTTTCATCAAACATTTACTAAACAATTACATGCTAGGTCAATGCAAGAAATTCACCATTAGAAAATCACATATTGCAATGCAATATTTATAGTGGGCAAAATGTTTGGCAACAAAAGAAGAAAAAATTCAAGCTAACAAACTTGTTTCAACACAAACATTTACAATCCAATCATGAAATTAGAGTCAAATTGAAATAAGATGAGGAATAAGTTGAGCTTAGCGAAATGTAGTCTTCAATGCTCCTCTTCCATCAAATCCTCCATAGAATTCCATAGAGAATTTAGCTAGAAAACATCAAGAACACCTTGCTCCTCTAAGAACTAGACATGGTCAAGTAGAGCTTCATGGAAATAGTGGAATCAAGCTTCAAATCTCCTCGCAAGTAATAGGGATAGATTTGACCAAGTGAGAAGAATGGAATGGTGGTGGTTTTATGGAGGTTTGATGGCTGGAAGTGGATATGGAGTGGCTGGAAAAATAGAGTTTCTAGAGAGAAGGAGGAGAAAATGAAAAACAAGATAAACTAGAGAGAGAAAATAAAGAGATGAATGAGTGTGTGGTGTGAATTGTGTTTGAATCTAAAAATATGAGGGGAGGGACAGTTGTGGATCAGATTTTGCTCTTAAAAATAATTAAAAATGAAATTAAAATGGCTAGAGAGCTTTACACTTTGTGTACATACCCTTAAGTGGCACTTTCTCATTGGTTGGGTGATAATTCCTATGCTTATATGAATATTCCCATGTTTTGCACTTAAAAAATTTGATATACCCCATCCTTTAGCCATTTAGCATGCCACTCTTGCCCAAAATGCCCTTCTTACACTTCCTTGACCAATTGATATAAGTACAAGTGCACATGTGTTGCCTATGTCACATAATGAATAATATTAATCAAATGAATGCATGTAACATAATAATTTATATTTAGTAACATGCAATTAATTATTTATATGGGAAATAAATAATAAAATGAATTTCAAGGGTTTTCCTAAAGCCATGCAGACACACATGCACGAAACCTTAATTAAGTCAACAAAGTTAACAACCTAAATTTTGTAATTTTTAATTAATATCTCCCAAACCACATTGAATTTTCAAAATATAATTTCATATTAATTATTATGGGCATAAAAAATATTTGGAATATTTTTTGTGCATTTTTTTAAAATTTAAATTTTTGGTCCAAAATACCCTTGGTACATAACTTTACCTTTTGGGCAATTTTCTTGCTTTTAAAATCATGAATGTACCAAAATGAGAAATATAACATGTAATATGGGTCTTAAATGACTAGATAAAGTGTGTAAATAACATGTCTTATTACACTACTGGTATCAACTCTGATTTACTTCACTTATTATCAAATCTCAAAGATATGAAAGAACCAAAAATCCAAAAATAGATTCTAGGTTATGAGATTGATGACGATGAAGGAGATGGCCAGAATGTGAGGCCACATTCATCGACTTTAATGTACTTCCCTCAATCTTACTGATCTCATCTAACTGGGGAAGGTAGTTGGAGTGTGAGGCTAAATCTTCAACTTTAGAGGCACATAAGTGTTATGCTTTTGGGTTTTATAGGTTTTGATTTTTGGGTTTTGGTTCAATTTTAATGAAATATAGTTATGATGTTGTTTGATGCTTTTTTGTTTGATTGAAATAAACTTGATGTTTTTTGATAGGTTTAATTGTTGTGTTTGATTACTTTGTTTAAATCTGGAGGATGTTCATGAAGTAGGTTACTCTTATTCTAAACTTCTCAAGTCCACTCGTGATCTGATTAGAGAGAGCAAGAGTAATAAAATTGCTATTAGGTTCACTACCTCTGTCAAGTTCTCCCTCACTTATTTCTCCATCATTATCTTAAAGCTTTTGCATATTCCTTGAGTGACTTGAAGGTTTGGAGGATGATTGGCAATCATGATAAGAAGAGGGGAATGTTTCTAGTTTGATGCTTTTTTGAATAATCAAAAGGCATTCAAGAAGAAGAGTAAATTCAAAAGGGATCTATTACGTGGCTTGCCACCTCAAACTTTTCAGCATCGTATTAGCTAAACGTTAGTCAAATGTTAGAAAAGGTTGAGATTGCTTTACTTTTAACACTTCTAGGGTAACATTGCTTCTCCTAAAAGGTAAGAGTATTGGGTGCTTTTTTGAGAAAAATTTTAGGGTATTTTTGCCCCCTTAACCCTATTCTTAAGAACATGGTTGTTTCTTTCTTTGAAGCCCTCTTTAAGGAAGATGTCAATGTCAAACTAAAACTTTCTACTATTAGATGCTTCCCACATCTATCTTCTATTCATCTTTAATCCTTGCAAAAGGAAGTGACTGAAGACAAAACAAAAAATGTTGCCATTGATATTAGGGCATTCAAAGCCCTTGGTCTTGATGGCATTAATGTAGGCCTCATTCACCCCTATTGGGATTATCTAAATAGCATTTTCAACCTAGTCAACAGGGTTTTCAAGGAGCTTGATTCTATAAAGGAGATTGACGACACTTTCATCACCTTAATCTCTAAGATTTATCACCTTGCCTGCATGAAAGATTTCTGTCTTATTTCACTTTGTAATGTTAGATATAAAATTATAACCAATATTCTCTCCTCTTGATTGTGTGTTTGCATGAATCATTTGATTGGTGATAACCAAAGCAACTTCATGCATAGGAGGTAGAGAATTGACAATATTATTTTGCTTAATAAATTATCCACTTAATGAGAAACAAAATAGGAAAAAAAAGGCTTTATGGCTCTCAAAGTGGATCTTGAAAAGGCTTTTGACAGACTATCATAGAACTTCATTGATGATATTCTCAATTTTATTAGGATAAATAGTCACTTTAGGAAATTAGTTCAGGCTACTATCTCCACTACTCATATGAGAATCACATGGAATGATGAACTATCCAAAGAATTCACTCCTTCTCATGGCATTCATCAAGGGGAACCTCTTTCTCCTTATCTTTTTGTTCTTTGTATTGAAAGACTAAGCCATTGCATACTTAGTAGCATTAATTAAAATGAATGGAAGCCAATTAAACTAACACCTAGTGAGCCTCATATTTTTCATTTATTTTTTTCTAATGATCTGTTGCTTTTTGCAAAAGTATCTCTTTCACAAGCATAAATCATTCAACAATGTCTTTCATACTTGTGTAATTCTTTTGGATAGAACAACAATACTAAAAAATCTAAACTTTATTTCTCTAAAAATATCAACATCAACAAAGCATTACAAATTACTAATGAACTACGAATTCCTCTCACTAGTAACCTTGGCAATATCTTGAAATTTTTATTATTCATGAAAAAATTTCTAAGTTTACCTATGCACCATTAATTGATAAGATGAACCCTTATTTGGCCAATTGGAGAAGTCAACACCTTAACATTGTGGGAAAATTAGTACTCATAAAATTTGTTCTCTTGGCTCTTCCCGAATACACCATGCAAACTATACTCTTACCTAACAATGTGTTAAAGGAATTGGTTAAAATCTTAAAAAATTTCCTTTGGGATTCATCTGATGGGAACAAAATCCCACCTTCTCTCTTAGGAATGTGTTACTTGTAATAAAAAGGTTAAGGGTATTGGTCTCAAAAATCTCAAAAATCAAAATATTACCTTCATCATAAAGCTTTATTTAGGTCTCATTACTAAATTGAATTGTCTGTAGGTGTGGGTCTTACGTGATAAATATAATTGCAATAAACCTATAATCCCTATGTTTGCTAAACCAAATTCTTGCTCCTATAATATGCAAAATTTAGGATAAATTCATGTCTTTCATTGGTTGGAAAGTGAATAAATGAGATAAAATATCCTTTTGGTATGATAAATGGACTTCCCTGCCTGAACCTTTGGTTAAGCATGCTTTCCATAATGTTGATTCTATTCTCTATGTAAGAGTCTTAAATTTTTGTAAGCCAATCAGTGGTTGGAATTTTGATATTCTATGATGATACATATACCCTAATGCTATTAAGGAAATTGCACTCATGCAACCTCTTAATAGACATGGTGAAGATGATATTCTTATTTGGAAGCCCTCTTCTGATGGTAACTTCTCTATAAAAGTTACTTACAAGGCAATGGAGTCTCATCAGACTCAGGAAAAATACGATATTTGGTCTAAAATTTAGAGATGGCCTACTTATGAAAAAAATAAAATACTTCCTTTAGAAAGCCGCCTGGGATCGTCTCCAAATCAATGTCACTCTCTCTAATGGAAATACTCCTTAACAATGTACTTGCCCCCTTGGTTGTAACTGTCCTTACTCTTCTATTCATGTTTTAAGAGATTGCAAGGATACTTAAGGAGGTTTAGGAAAAATTAGTCAATCCTTCCAAGCATAATAGTTTCTTTTCTCTTTCTATACATGATTGGATAATTTGAAATGCTAAAAGCAAAGGAGAAAGCCTATCTACTAGAAGATTTTCCTGGTAGAAACTTTTTGCCCATGCTTATTGGAATGTATGGAAAGCTAGATGCAATAAAGTTTATTCTAAAGATATTGGTTGTTCACCCTTAGTTGATCAAACCTAATATATATGGCCCAATAAGAGTGGGGGACTTTATAATAATATTGGAGAGATCTGGGTCCTTGTACGTAATAAAAATGAGGGCCTAAATTGTAATATTTCCTATTATTCAATTTTGTGAATTGGTGGGAATAGTTTTAATGACTCCCACGTCTGAAATTACATGTGTAACATCCTGAATTTAAATCCTAGGAACTTATTGATAATCAAGGTTAAATTATTAATTATTGGATTAATTGTGGTTTGAGTGTTGGGTTGATGTTTTATGTTGTTTGGGTGTTATTTGGATGTTGTATTGATAGGATTAAAAGGTAGAAAGGCAATTCAAGGCATAACATGTGAGCATAAATAAGATTAAACTTACCGTGCCACGTGCTGCGGTGGAAGCTACGTGCACTATGGCACATCATCCAAGAATTACTTAAAGTTAGCATGATTAGCTCATGAAATCAGAAGGAGAGGTGCTGGGAAATGTAGCTAGAGAGGAGAAGAGGTTCCTATTTGCTAGGGCAAGCCATATCTAGAGGACTAGAGTCTACTTCAATTAATAACTTGTTGGGTAAGTATCGCACAATCCCAAGCTTCATCTCTCCCATTTTTGTTGAATTTTATCGGTTGAGAAATCAAATCAAGGAGTTCTAAGGTATTGTAATCTAAAAGAAAGGGTTAAAATGGGCTATCAAATATAGAACTAAGGTTTTGTGACTAGTATGGAGTTGAATAGTTAAGCTTTAAGGGTTTAGGCTCTTTAGCTTAAGAAACTTAGGTTAAATGTGAAATTGAGTGAATGAATGTGTTACAAGGTTGTTATTATTGTTTGAGTAGCCTATAGGGCTAATGACTATAATAATGGACGTATGAATTCAAAAGATGTTAATTAAATCATTTTGTGTGTTCAGGGATTTGGTTTAGCCGAATCAGTGCTTATGTGAAGTATTAAGAATTGACTAAGAGACACTATGTTAAGTAGATTGAGAGCCTGTGGAGTTGCTCGTGAAAATCTGCACCCTTAAGAGCTTAGTGTGATTGGTAATCCTTAATAGTAAGGGTTAAAGGTAACTGAAGTAACCCTTTTACTTATTTGTTTGTGAAATTATTTAACTGATAGGGGTAGCAAAATTATAAAAGAATATGCATACGGGTGTGTAAGTATTGATTGAAATGAATTTAAAGTGACACATGCATTAACATGCATCACATCTGTGAGAATACCTTAGATTATGATAGGGGATGCGGCTCTACCATGAGGAGGTCCAGGATGTCTTGATGATCTAAAGCGTAGAGCTTGACTTTGCTAGGATAGACTTAGGAGAAGAATCTTGATGATCCAGAACATAGAGCTTGACTCCGCCATGATAGACCTAGGATATAGAATGAACTATGAGGTTACCCTAGACTAGTGTAGGGGGTCGTGGTCCTACTTTATATAAGGTTAGGAAGTCTTAATGATCCAACGTGTAGAGTTTAACTCACTACAACGGACCTAGGAGACCACCTGTATGTGAAGAGGATTACTTAGTCTAAGCAGTGGTATGGTAGGCCTTGTTTCATGTGAATGGAACTCTTAGTCTAAGCGTAGAGATTACTTCACTAGGTGAAACTAAGAATGCATTGTATGAGCATAATGAGATTGATAAGAATGAATTTCTGTAAATACATATGATGTTGCTTTACTATTAAACATGCTACTTTATCGCTTATTTATAATTTTTCTTACTAATCGATAACTGGGGTTACCTCTGAGTTACTGGGACATATGTCTCACTTTGTTACTTTTGAACACAGGTGAAGAGAGTGCGAGAAGGTTGGGAAAGGAAGCGAGAAAAGAGTAGATTTATTTAGTAGTGGTATGACTACCATTAGTGAAAATGAATATATAATTTGTGGATAGAGTTAAGTTGCCAACAAAGATGCGTAAGTGTATACAAATATAAGAAAGTGAATTATGTTGTGAAAACTTTTTTGTATATATATATAGTGTTGCATTATGCCAAGGGTGCCCTAGTGGAGGGTATGTGGGTATGCCTAAATGCGAGACAAGCAAGTGTTGTTATGTAACTTGTTCCACTTGTATATATATGTGTTGAATTTGAATTGATTGTGAATTATGTATATATGTGAGAACTTGACACAAATGGTGAGGCGGAGCCCCATTTGAAAAAGTCGAGTACATTTGTGATTCCCGACCATATAGTGAAGCGGAGTCCCATATGTAAGAGTTAGAGGATTGAAAGTGAAACAAGTCTAGTTATATATATGTGAATCTTATATAAGTCCACAATTGCATAATGTGGCATTGAGAGGCCAAAATGAGCAATTGATGTGATATATGTGATATGAGGTATCAATTAGGTGTATATGGTCTTTTTAAACTTGGTTCAAGGCTTGAAGTGATCTAATGGGATAAGGAATGTGAATTGGGCACTTAGGGTACAAGTTTTTAAAAGAAAAGTGACTTTTTACACTCGGGTATCTAATTTTAGTTTGGACTATCAAATTAGGTCCAAACTTGTTCTATGATCTAGAATGTGTTATAAGTTTCGTGTGGGCACTTGAATCACCCTAATCAAATATCGGTTGTGGAAATGGCATACAATAAAAGTTCATCTACTAATTTATCATATGATAGCAGAATTTACTATGTTCTTGCCGTGGCGCATGACACAAACAAAAACAGAGTATTTCGCTTTGTACCACATGCCGCAATGCATGACCCATTTTCAATGTTGATAATGTTGTGCCTTTTGAATCTTTTGACTGCATTTGCACTTTCACTAGCTCTCTTATTTGAATATATGTTTTAAGAAGTCAGGATCCGACAATTTGCAAACAAATAAAGGGCTATTACTCTACTATTATTATGTTGGTATTTATTGACTGTGTGATTAGGGATGGCAAAGCCTGGTTTGAATTGGAACTTTACATCATACGTGCATGGTTCCAATATATGAGAGTGTTAAATGTATTTTGGGTAACATTCTAAAGACTCTTGTTTACTCTTGTTAAATGTATTTTGAGTTTTATGAACCAAGTTGGACCTTGTGGCTTTGTTCCTGCATACGTGTCTACCTATGCAACTCAATCTACATATATTCAAGTATGTCTTCCTCCTCCAGAATCTTACAATGGTATCAAAGCTGTGCTTGTTCTTGGGCTATGTTCCCTGTATTTGAAGAGCATATGATGATTTACTTATCCTATATGTACATGCTAATCTACTTTCTCATATTTTTTTGTGCGGTAATGTCATGACCTTCCTCTGTTTGTTTTTCATGCATATTGTTGGTGTAAAATATGCATCCTTGCTTTCTTGGTGGTTTATATATGTAAAATGAGGCTTTACATGTTATCCATAAACTGTATGTGAGTTTAGATAGTGCTGAAACTTCCAAACATATCAAAACTAAAAATTAGATATTTGAAAATGAAGTTTTTTTTAGATAAATGAATACAGTAAACATGTAGAGCTAAAAAAGAAAAGAAAATGACACTAAGAACGTGCAAAATGGAGACCAAATGGAGGAGATATAGCCTCTGAAAGTTTTGAGTCTGACAGACTTGACCTGTCGAAGGAACCGACTCAAGCTAACCTAGCGAGAGGTTGACGATAATAGAAATGACATATCATTTTTGTCCTTGTCAAAATGATATTGGTTCTGTTTTGACATGTTCTATTTAAAGAAATTTTTTTTTTGGTTTTAGGCTTAGAACCCAAACCATTAATTTTTTTTTTGAATTGGGGTGCTAGCCTAAATCTTTAAAATAATTTTTTTTATTAAACAAAGGTTTTGGGTTATGGAAATGGGTCCACAGGTTGGGTATAGAAAACCTAACCTAGTTTGAATTATAATAAATAAAAAAATAATTTGAATTAAAAAAACTTAAACACATGCATGAGAAGGCTTTACAAGCACATGATGGACCCCACCTAGAAGCTATTGGCCCATGGAGCATAACGGACCGGCGTATATCTTTATTGAGTAAGGGAAGCAGCACATGACATGCACGTGCCACAAATGAGATTAGAATTGTTTGGATTTTTTATTTTTCCAGAATTTTTTGTTTAGAGAGCTTTTTAGGGCACATGATGTTGGAAATTGTGTCTTAGGGTCAATCATTATACTGTGCACATTGTTATTTAATGAATTTTTTTTATTATCATCTTAATTGCAAGTTCACTATGATAATTGTATCTTTGGACAAACTATAGTGATTGTCCTAAATGTCCCTAATTGATCATCTATGAGGGATCATAGATAAACCAAGGCTAGTATGATTTTAATTAATTATAGTGATATAAATTAATATCATAGGCACTTGAAAGAGTACAAGGTGCTGGACCGACTCGTTATGAGACAGCTGCATAGTATAAGTCATAAGCTTATTTCATATGTAACCATATCACTAAGCCTTTTGACCTGAGATTATCATGAATTCCTATATGATGATCACTGAACTTTGACCTAGTCAAAAGTCACCTTTGATCGGGTGATCATAAAGGCTATGATTGAGTTTAGTGATATTCATGCAGAGGAATATGAGTAGTCAAGATGAAATTTGTCCCTCACATTAAGTGAGAGATATTATTGGGTTCCTTGATGAGTAAAATTGAGAAAATGTATGGTTATACTATAATATAAAGGGTTTTACAATTGCTACAGTTAGTCCATTCAAAGATTGAGAAAGTAATGGTCAGGTAAAGGAGAATGATAATTTCATGTTTCATACTTGATCGAAATATCACGTGACAGAAGGGATGTGATATAGTTGCATGATAGGTTACATTGGATCATGATCCCATATGAATTGAGTAGTTGTAATGCCTTGTTAGAGGTCACTTGTGACTTATGGGCTAATAGCGTAATTAGCCTATTGTCAATTTCATATGAAGCCTATAAGGTCGCACACAAGAATAGTCCAACTCTAGCTATAATGTCTAAATTTATTGAATTTGAAATGTGTCTAAAGTCAATAAATGTAATGCTTTTCTAGAGTGAACGAATTATATATATATAAATATTTAGTTGATAAATATTTATATGAAATATAAAATTTAAAATATAATTATAAATATATTCAAATATATATATATATATATTCATGTCTGTGTGTGTATATTTGATATATATATATTTGAAATATATATATATATATATATATTTGTGTGTATATATATAATGTAATATGAATATGTGATATATTATATTATATTATATCATATTATATTATGTTAGTTTTAAATTTAATTTTATATATATATTAAATTTAATAACTAACATGATCTAAAAGAATATCATATTAGTTTTATAGTTTGAATTTATAAGATAAATTTGAATTAGATATGATATTATACATTTTGTTTATGAGATAAATTTAATTTAAATTTCGGTTAGATCTTCAAGAGGAAGGTAAAAATCCTAATCTATATAAAATAGATATAAGGGGACATGCAAAATAAGAGAGTTAGAAAATTTTTGATAGTAAAACTTTTTGAGAGCCATGAAACACCTTAGAGAAAGATAAACCAACATTCAAAGAAGAACGGATGTTGGGAGCACTAGCATGCTATTTAAGTTAGAGAGCTATTCGTGTGAATATCGGTAGAGGGAGTAGATCTATGTTATCAACTCTTGAGATCTAAACTCTTGAAGAGAACGTATGTGAAGCATGAAAAAGGTAACTGTTCTTCCCATCTTGACTTAAACAATTTTGTTCAGTCCACATCATGATAGGAAATTTAAAATTTTAATCTTTCACTGTGCCACCCTATCCAACACATGAGGCATCAAATTGAGACACGATTTTCTTAAAAAATTCCTAAATTTGATATCTTCATTTTGATATGCTATTTACCTATATTTAAGACAAAATAAGAATTTATTTTTGAGTTGTTCATTGCATTTTATAATTTTAATCATTTAAAAAAATTTCCCAAAAATTTTATTTAGTTTTTAAAAAAAATGAAGAAAGAGGCTTTTGGTAGCACTGATAACTCACAAAATTATTCTGTTAGTATTGAGTATCTGGATGAGCCAGATTATGAGCTTTTTAGTGAGAATTTTGACCCGAAACCCTATGAAGAGGAGGAGGAGTATGAACCTTAAAGCAAGATTTTGATCCTGAAGAGGATCCTAATGTTGATCTCGAAGATGTGCCAGAAGGACCTAAAAAGGTGCACATAATGCGAGACCAAAATATGAAACAGAAGGTGATGAGAATCTTTAAGACAAAGATGAAGATGTTGAACAACCTTTCATACCCTTTGTGATAAAAAGATATAGCAAAGAGAGAAGTTAAAAGAATTCAAAAGCTAGATCACATTTTCCCAAGAGTAAGAGCATATTCAAGCTTCATAATAAAGGAAGAACAAACTCTAGTTGTGAAATTTTTTTACAAACAACTCAAGAAAGAACTTGTGCAACATAACAAGCAAAGCAAGTTGTACTCAGAAAATCCTCTATAGAATAGAGCCATCAAAGGGATGAGAGTGCAAGAAAAATATAAAGACATAATTAAAAGTTATCTTTTTAGGCCTATACCTTAAAATAATGTAATGTATCTTTTTTTTTGAGTTTGTATTTATTCAAGTTACGTTATGCTGTTTTTTTTAAGATCTTGATGATTTATAATATATATGAAGTATGTTAATTTTTTATGATGATTTTTTTATTGCTTTATATATACTTCATTTGAGTGAGAGCTCTTAAGTGATAAGTCGTTTAAGAGCTAATATAATAATTATAAAAAAATATTTGTAAAATTCTTTATAGATAATAGTAATTTTGTTAGAGTCAGTGTGATGGGAGATACAAGCATAGCCTCTTGATAGTTGACCTAATATTATTGTTATCACTCTAATAAAGAATAATACCAGTATAAGAAATTTCATGTTTCTCATGAGTATTTTATTCTTGGTTTAATATAGAAAACTATTAATGTGGAATAGCTTCGTATCAGAATTAAGAATGGCAACAAAAAGAATTATTGTTGAATTAAATAAAGGGGACAAGCTAAATGGGGATGATTAGGA